TTCCTTCGTTTGTGAATTTTTGCTATAATGTGTAACCTGCAGTTCCCAGTGGGTCGGATCCACCGTCTACTAAAGTCAAGGACCACCGCGCATGGGAGAGTAGGAGCCACTGCTGCTGTTTATTCTGCTGCTATCCTGGAATATTTGACTGCAGAGGTGTTGGAGTTGGCTGGAAATGCAAGCAAGGATCTTAAGGTGAAACGTATTACCCCCAGACACTTGCAGCTTGCCATCCGTGGTGATGAGGAACTTGATACCCTGATCAAGGGAACCATTGCTGGCGGTGGTGTGATTCCACATATCCACAAGTCACTCATTAACAAGTCATCCAAGGACTAGACCATAATGGGTTATTGCTTGTAGAGATTGGCCAAGTCTCTATCTGAGCTGCATTTCCTTGGTGTGAGCCTGAGACTAAAATTATAAATTTGCTAGGTTCTGATATGACAGTTAGGTCATGCATTATTGTGTTTAATTAATTTGTTGACACTTATGTCTAATCTTCTTTCAGCTGCTGGACTTGGTTTGTTTTTTTTTTTTTTCTTTTTCATTTCTTCTCCTTTTCCAATATATATACTGTCAATATTGGCATTGGCATATTATTTAGCAGATTGACATAGTGGCTGTTGCGTGGTTAACATATATGACCAGCTTTAGGGTTATTGATGTATTGTTTGGAAGACGTTATTTTGAGATTAGCAAAGAATATCAGGAAATTATCATGTATCCTTGAGCTGCTTTCATTTTGCCTGATTTTTACTTTTAATTTTTTAAATCTGGAATGGCTGAGCATGGCATACAGAATAAGCCTAAATCATCAGGTCTCTCTTTGTGATCACTTTGGTAAATTTTGAGCCAGTTCGTAGACAAAATTTTGGACGCAATGCAAGCGCAGAAACATGCAACTACACAATGGTTCCTCGTTGGTATTGTAGTCACTTAAGCTACATAATCTCGCCTGTTGTTTACTCCCAGAGGATTAGTTATCGTGTTATTCTTGTTTAAAGATATGTGACCTTCACAAACCAATGGCATAGAACATTTCACAGCGGAGGCTTGCACAATTTGACAACCATTTTCCAATGAATGAGGACAAAGAAACCCTTTATGCTTTCAGTCCCTAGCTTCCGCTCATATTACCAGATTAACACGAGTACAAGGGATGTGTTATGTACTTACCATCATGCTTTGCTGAGAAGCATCTAAGTGGGGTTTCAGGATTCGTTAAACTTCAGCTTCCTGATGGAAAACAGTGGCCTGTGCGATGTGTTTATAGAGGAGGCAGAGCTAAGTTCAGTCAGGGTTGGTATGAATTTACATTGG